GGTCTTCTACGCTATTTAATTTGGAAAATAAAGACACACAAATGTAACCTTCCCTTTGTCTTAAATAGAGATGATTTTGATAATGAGTTGTCTAACTATGATATTAGTCTCTGTGTACGGCAGAGTTACCTGGGCATGCTCAAGCAGAAAAGCAAGATAGCACCACAGAGGTACCAGCAGGAAGAACTACTCATGGAAGATTAAGAATAAAGGAGACCCCCTATGCATTCATAGGGCTCACTATCATAGCATTGTTGCTTCAGATAGGAAGAAACCTCAAGAGCTGTTTTCCTGCTTTGGAAGAATGATTTTCAAGAGAAATTGAGCTGAGAGCCAAAACCTTCTAGCACATGACCTAAGAATATATCAAAAGCTTAAATTCACTAGAAGTCATAAAAACAAAGGAAACTATCTCAGTGTGAAAAATGAATACTTCAGAAGACAATGGTGTGATAAAGACACAGGAATAATTTCCCAACAAAATCCATTTGTTTGAACATCTGTTTGCCACCCAGCAAGAATAACTCTTCCTGATGGATTTAGCCAAGAAAAAAACAAACAAGTAATAAAATTCAATTGATAGAAAGTTAATGAACAAACTCACATTGTTTAAATCCACCGTATTTTCCTAGAAGACCACAAGGCATCTGGTGTTCATATATCAAAATTTAGAAATTTGATTTTCTTCTCATTTATATTAAGCTTTAACATTTTAGCATTGTTAATATCATGGGTTCAATCCAATCTTTCAGCTGAAAGATTAGTATTCTTTCTTGCAATGTGACAAAGTATCAATTTACAAGTTGGTTTTCCAAAAGACTTGAGATTATTCTTATATTTAAGTAGTTTCAGTTTCTAAAAGCATATTGCTATTACAATGCTAGAAAGACAGGGAGGGGTGTGACAGAGACTAACACCACAGAAGCACAGAAGTTGATTCTGGAGATGATGTGGAAAAAGATGGCGTATAAAGTTGACGAGATATTACTCAAAGCAAAAGAAACAATTTGGTCATTAACAAAGAAGAGGAATAAAAAAAAACTGTCATCAAATATAATGAAACTAAGTAAAAGTCCAATATAAAACAAAGCAAATACAAAGAAAAGAAAAGCAATTTCAGGAAAAAGTTAAACTATCACCACACATATAAAGTGAAGGGTAGATACTTCACTAAGTCTTAGTGCATTATAAATAAATAGAAGACAATAAAAAGGAAGAATCAATAATTATGAGTCACACACCAAAGAAACCGTCCTCAGTCACACAAAGGACATTTCCTAGAACACTGAAGAAAAAAACAGAATTACGACGGGGTGGGAAACTAAAATAGAGTAAGTCTTTGAAACTCTAAAATCCACTACTTAGAGTCTAAGACTTTCTTTAGATGAGTCTTGATAACAAATTATTATATCCCTATGCAGTAGCTGGCCAGAAATTTCTTTGCAGTAGCTTGCCAGAAATTTCTTTACAGTACCACAAAGAGATGAAAATTTATTTCTTAAAAAAAATCAAATCTATCACGGGGCTGGGAAGGTGGCTCAGTGGTAAAGCGCTTGCCTTGCATGTCTGAGGCTCTGGGTTCGATTTCTCAGCACCACGTAAGCAAAAAGAAAAAAAGCCGGAAGTGGCGCTGTGGCTCAAGTGGTAGCGTGCTAGCCTTGAGCTGAAGAACTGAGGGACAGCGCCCAGGCCCAGAGTTCGAGCCCCAGGACGGGACCCAAAAAAAAAAAAATCAAATCAATCAATCCATCTCTTTATAAATACACATTACACAATGTACACACACATATATATGCACATCAATTTCTGAATATAATGCATCTTGCTCAGTGTCACCTCTCCATCATACCCACCCCATTTATCCCAACCCAGCCCATCTCCACAAGCAACCTGGCACCGCTTTCACATGTGCACATTGAGTATCTACCCATTCACCTATCTGGCCCCCCTCCTTGAGTCTCATCCCCCCTGACTAAACCACATTTCAGCTTCTTATCCAGTCACTGCCATATTGGGCGGCACAGATCCAGAAACCAGAAAAAAAGGAAAAAACAAAAACAGAAAACTATAGGCATTCCTAAGCAATGTACGTAATTGCTAGGAAAATGTGACCAAGAACTGTGTTTTGCTGGGTGTTGGCGGCTCAGGTCTGGAATCCCTGCTACTCAAGAGTCTGTAATTTGTGGATCTTGGTTCCAAGCCAGCCAGGGCAGCAAAGTCCATGAGATTCTTTATCTCCAATTAACCACCAAAAAGCCAGGAGTGGAGGTGTAGCTCAACTGGTAGAGAGCCCTGAGTGAAAAACTAAGGAACAAGTAAGGCCCTGTGTTCAAGCCCCAGGATCAGCACACCGCCACCAACCCCCCACCCCCCCAAAAAAAATTACTGAAGCATTTTTGACAATACAATACAGGCCTGTGATCCTAAATACTCAGGAGGCTCAGACCTCAGGATTGCAGTTCAAGGCCAGCTCCTAACAGGCAAGTACTGGAGATTCCAATTAACCACCAGAAAGACAGAAACAAAGCTGTAGATCAACCTGGTTGAGCACTAGCCTTGAGTATAAAAGCTCAGGGACAAGATCCCAGGCCTTGAGTTCAAACCCCAGGACCAGTGAAAAACAACAAAACACACAAATACACAGGACTCAAAATGTAACCATTTTACATTCCTACTCTAATTTACTAAAAGTTTATGATAGGGATGGTCATCTGTCTATAATCAATCTATCTATCTATCGAAAAGGGGTAGGGTAGAGGGAGCTATGGGACCTTTGTTTTAAGACCAGACCTAGAAATGAGTCAGGAATCTCTACATCGTTCACTTGTACAAAAAGAACTACCTCTGAGAACCACCAGGGAAGAACTAGATTCCATCTCCATGGATCTGTAATGGGCACGGGATACAGGATACCACTGCTCCTCATGGGCCTGGCCCCATTGTGCTGCTTCAAATGCCCGGACTCACAGAGTTAAGGCCTTCCCCACTGAGACTCTCATAGAAGCAGTAGAGTTGCCTTTCCTGGTATATTACTCCAAACTTTTCCATCTCAGCACTGACCCTGAAAACTGACTTTTTGTTTTCCCTTCAGACTTACTGCTGAAAATAATAGCTTCCAGCTATTGAAGCTAAGTGTTTTATGTGTATTAACTCATTTAAGCTCACAAGAACTTGTGACATATATCTATTTTACACATGAAGAAACAGAAATACAAGGTCAGGTCATTACTAAATGGTAAAGATAGGACTGAAGCCCAAAGATTCTAATTCTTCAGTGCGATCTGTATTATGCAGCACTCACAGTCTCTAAATCTTTAAATCCAGAACACATTAGCCATCAGTAACTGCTCCTTGGGTTTTAGTTAACAGGTCTAAAAGTCAACAGTCCACCTCATCAGATGTTTATTTGGGGAAATGCTATTGGTTCTGTGACTACTGGAAAACTGACAACTACTGAAATTTAACTTGCAAAAGGTTACTGGATGACACTTTTCCTTAACTTGGGAAAAACTAAAGAAGTAAATGTTTGCAAGAATACATATGCCACCACTTAGCCAAGGAAAAAGAAAATGTTGTTTTCCTCAATCTGCAAAATAACATGGAGTTATGCACCATATAATAACATTTCCATCCGCAATGAACCACACACACAACAGTGGTCCCCTAAGATTGAGATTCAAGACATGGTATCTACCTTGTGAAGGTATTATGATGGGCACATCTAAGATCAGGTTTCTCAGAATGCATCCTTGTCCTTATGGTATTCATGACTGTACATATAAAGAATTTATCATAGTCAATGAAGAGTAAGGAATCTTCATCACCTACTTTAAGTGTTTCACTATTACTACCTGATGTAGATCCAATCAAACAAGACCCTTGAGTTCATGTATTTACAAGGAGTAATTACAAACATTTTTTTAAAAAGCCTTCTCAGTGGAAACATACTAAAAATACATTGATTAAAAATGCATATCACCTTACAAATTTATCACAAAGAAGTCCATTATTAGCCGTAAGGATGAATGCTTCAGCAGGCACTCATGGCTCAGGCCTATAATCCTAGTTACTCAGGAGGCTGACATTTGAGGATTACAGTTCCAAGTTAGCCTGGGCTGAAAAAAAAAAAAAATCAATGGGATTCTTATCTCCAATTATTCTGCAAAAGTGCTGGAAATGGAAGTGTGGCTCAAGTGTTGAGTGCTAGTTGTGAGCAAAAAAAGCTCAGGCACTATGTTCACGCCTGAGTCACTGCACAAAGATTCAAGAAACAAGAAATAAAAGTTAAAGAAGGCTGCCAACAGAACTCATCTCAACTGATTCCAAGTCTAGTTTTTAAAACAAATAAATCCTTAATCCTGCACAAGAGGCTCCAAAACCCAGGTAGCACAATCCACTAGACTTCTTCTCTAATTAGCCAGCAAAAAGCCAGGCAGAAGGAGGGTCTCAAGTGGTAGAGTGTCAGCCCGCATCCAGGCAGCCAGATCCTGAGCTCGAGCCACCCGAGTGGTTACAGGGCGAAGGGACACTAACCCTTCGGGGGCAGGGCTGCAGGTGTGTGTGTAATTCACTGGCAGGGGAAGTCTGCTTGGCAAGCTCAGAACCCTGGGTTCGAGGCTCAGCCTCTCCCCCAACAAAACCCACAGAATCCCTTGCGTGAGTGGTGCACCTGCTGGACACCTTGCGGACGACTGAGTGGTTTCCTGGGTGGGCGCCCGGGCTGGAAGTGCATCCCCCAGGCCCGGTGCGCGCTGGGGTCCGCACCACACCTCGGCCTGGCCGGGGTTCAAGGTGTCCATCAGGGAAACTGAGGCACGCGCCAGGCTGGGCCACGCACCCAGAGGCCGGGAGTTAAGGGACGCAGGACTGGAGGGCGTCCTGGTCCTTTCCACCGTGAACTCGCGGGGGGGGGGGGGGGGTCTTTAACCTTTCACCCCCGCGGCGGGGGGGGGGGGGTTAACCCTTCACCCCGCGGCGGGGCGCGCTGAGGAATACCGTACCGGCGGGAAGCAGGGCCTCCAGCGGGGTAAAGGCGAGCTCCATGACGGGGTAGGACCTGTGCGTTCAGAGAGAGAACCGACCGTCAGGTCCGGGCCCCCCGCCTGACTCCGCGCCGCGGGGGCTCGAGCTCGCGGGACCCCTCCCTCCTACGCCCCCCCCCCCCGCCTCCCCTCCAGCCAGCCCGCCCATCCGGGCACTGCGCCGCGCGGGCTCGCCGTCCTCCCCTCCCTTCCCTTGCCCTCCCGCACTTACACGACGGCGGGTGGAGCCGCCGGCGACGTGCGGGGAGCTCGGGCTGCGGGGGAGCCCCGGATCGACCGCTCGGCGCGCGGCTGAGCGGCCTGGCGCGCGCGGCCCGGGCCGAGTCGCCGGCGCGCGCGCTCTCAGGCCCCGCCCCCTCCCGGAACCTCGGCGGCCGGGGCACCCCGGGCGGGGGGAACGGCCCCGGGGCGGGCTCGGGGGCGGCCCTGCAGCCCCTGGCTTGGGCGGATCGCTCCTCGCCCCGCTGAGCCCCGGGGACGCGCGTGTGCCGGAGCCGTGACGGCTGGGACCCGGCTTTCACCCCGCGCGCCCGCGGGGCCGAGTTGTCCTCCTCCGCCCACTTCCCCCGGCCCCCGGCGCGCTCGTCCTCCCCGGGTCCCCCGACCCCGGCCGGTCGGCGCGGCTCGGGGGAAAGCTGGCCGGCCCGCCTCCGCCCTGGGCCCGGACCCTTCCCGAGGCCACGCCGGCCTCGTGGGCAGGAAAGCAGACGGAGGAAGAAGCCTCGCGGGCAGACGGACAGACGTCCTGCTGGCTCCGGGCCTGCCCTTCCCGATCCCGGGCCAGTCGGTAACTACCCGGAGCCAGACCCGGATTTTCACCCGCGCCCGAGAAGTGCGGGCTGGAAGGGACCAGGCGGCCGGCCGAGCATGCAGGGCGCGCAGCCACGTGCCTGCCGCGGCGCGCGGTCCGGGCCGCAGCCCGCGCCAAGGCAGAGCCGCCGCACCCAGGCTGGGTTCCTGGTCGGCTTGAGGTGGAACAGCGATGCCAGGGACACAGGGAAAGCCAAAGGGTCACAGGGTCATTGAACTGAAGACAAGCAGAGACACACACACCCCCTCACCCCCAGGAGGATCTCAAGGTAGAGCGACCCTCTTGAGACACATCTTCTGGGGGTTGGTTAGTGGACAGCTGCGGGACTCTGAGGTTGTTGCACAGCCCCAGGTTCTATCAGTTTCCGGACTCAAATCAGAGGCTCGGCCTGCTTGAGCTCTTCACGCATCTTGTGTCCCCCTGGGACTGGGTGTCCCGTGTTAGCAGACACCTCTGGGGGCCGGTCAAGCCACTCGCACCACAACATGAGGATCAGGAGTTTGCATGCTCCACTGCTCAAGACCATGGGGAAGGGTGCACAACCATGTCTTCACTGCTTAGCCAAGCTCTGGTTTCTGCTGTCCTATACACAGGCAGTAACCTGATATTCAGGTGGCAAAAACATACCACTATAGATGAACAGACTTAATGAGATGGATTAATCTGCTAGATTGCAAACGATTTTTTTTATATTATTGTGAAAATACTGTACAGAGGGGTTACAATTACATGGGCAAGATAACGAGTACATTTCTTATCAAGCATTGTTGCCTCCTTTGTTTCCCCTTCCCATCCCTTCCCATAGTTCCCCCCACCCCAACCAAAGTTGTAAAGTTCGCCATATGGAGGGTCCTCAAAAGACTCCACATAGAGCTCCCCTATGACCCAGCAATCCCACTTTTGGGCATTTACCCAAATGATCACAAACAAGACCACACTAAAGCTACCAGCACAACTATATTCATTGCAACATTATTTACCATAGCTAAGATATGGAACCAACCCAGATGCCCCTCAGTAGATGAATGCATCAAGAAAATGTGGTATATAAACACAATAGAATTCTATGCCTCCATCAGAAAGAATGACATTGCCCCATTTGTTAGGAAATGGAAAGACTTGGAAAAAATTATATTAAGTAAGCCAGGCCCAAAAAAACATAGGTCCCATGGTTTCCCTTATTTGCAATAACCAGCGTATGTCTGAGTCAAACAGAAAGTCAGGTAAGTTGATGTTAGGGAAATGAATCCCAAGTTAAGTATTCAAATGTTTTTTTTTTCTTTCATGAAATTGTTTCTAACATATTTATAAGATGATTTCTTTGTTGCTTTTTATGCCCCTCCCCCATGATATAACCCCTGCTTTCACTGTATTTGATGTTGCTATAATTTGTGGAGGGGAAGGGAAAAAACAAATCGTTTAAATAGGGATACAGGTGGACCCATTGCAACAATGAGATGTACAAGTCGTTATGTCGAAAAACAATTTTTTTAATTTAAAACATTTACATTTATTGAACAATTATTATGTTTCAGTGCAGAGAGCTGTGATACCTTATTTGATTGTCCAAAAATGGTGGCTCTACAGAATAAAAGACAATCATTGGGCATCATAATGAAAGCTTTTGCAATAGTCTGTCTCTCTACTTCTCCAGTTTTTTTTTTTCACAGCAGACCTCAAACCTGATGCCCCCCATCTCTCCTCCACACACACACACACACACACACACACACACACACACACACACACACACTTACTCTTTAGCTCATTTTAGGATTGCTCTCCTGTCAAAGCTAAAAATCACAATCTGTAGCTACTTGTTTGATTTCTCATCTCCTACTAGACTGCTAGCTTCTTTAGGACAGGAATCACACCTGTTTTATTCAACTATTTCTTTTTTTTTTATTTAATTTAATTTTATTTGTGAACATACTGTACAGAGGGGTTACAATTACATGGGCAGGATAATGCGTACATTTCTTACCAAGCATTGCAGCCTCCTCCTTTGGTTTACCCTTCACATCCCTTCCCGGCTTCCCTCCTCCCCCGCAATCCCAATCTTATTCAACAGTATGGCCAGAATGTAGGTTCAGTGAATATTTGTGAAATAATTAACATTGGTGGGAGGAAATGGTAAAGGTAATAAATTGAACACTTAGTATTATGCTGACCTTTGGTCCTCAGCTCCACCCAGACCTGGGCCCCTCCCCTTCCTGGAGTTCCCATGATACAACTGGTCCCTCCCTCTCTCTGCCCAGACCCACCTGAACTCCCATCTACCTCACTTCCTTTCCCTTCAGAGCCTCCTGCTACCTGGATGTAGACAGAGGCCATGTGCTCCCTCTTGGGGGAAATATGGCTCCTCTAATAAACCTTATAATCTTTCTCCTGTGCCTGCCTGCCTCTGTGTGGTCCCCTGGGATGGATGTGTCCGATCCTCCTACAAACACAATATGCTCTCGTGGGAAAATACAGAGTAAATACAAATGCAAATAGAAGAATAATCTATTTGTATTATTAACTGTGTTGGAAAGTTCTTCGAAGATGAGTTTGTTTGTTTATCTCTTATTTCTGAGGGTAAGGATGGGGTGGACAGTAAGAAGTAGATTCAGGAAAATGTAACTACCTTGGAAATTTTTTACCTTTTTATTGCACAGTTGATAATACTTTGGCACTTTGAACATTGATCCTTATATGGAACCTCCTGAGGAGCTATTCTTGGCAAGAACACTTGGTATCTGGTTATGTTTAGTTTTGTTTGTAAGTGACTTACTAAATGCATATGTTTGTATAGGAGATACATTGTGACAATTCATGTGTCTAATGTGCAATCTATCAGAGTAATTGGTGTATGTAATTGGGCGTGTATTATTCCTTTGGCTTCAGATGATTCAAAATCCTCTCTACTAGATACTTCAAAATAGTTAATTAATTGTTGTCAGCCATTGTTATCCTATTGTGCTATATATAGAGCATCAAGTTATTTCTTCTATCCAACTGCCTGCCTGTATTAGCATTCTCTCCCCTGCACCCTACTCTAATAAACGCTATTTTATTCTCTACTTTGAGATCAACTTTATAGCTCCCATGTATAAGTGAGAGCATGTGGTCTTTTCTTTTCCTGACTTTTTTTCACTGTCCTCTAGTTCTATATGTGGTGCTGTAAATAATAGAGGTTCAGAAGGTTTATAAATGAAGCCTATCCAATTATGTTTGTAGAGTTAATTGGATCCATTCTTCTTGATGAATACCTAGGTTGATTCTGTGTCTTGTCTGTTGTGAACAAGGGTGCAGTAAGCAAGCGTGTTGCAATGGTCTAAGACTCTTTTCCATTCCTTTGGAGACATACTAGTAGTGGGATTACTAGATCATAGGCTTGTTTTGTTTTGCTTTTTAGTTTTTTGAGGAGATTTTATCCAGTTTTCCATAGTGACCATGCTACTTTGTGTTTTCCAAAACAGTATGTGAGAGTTTCCCTTCTCTGCACCCTTGCCAACATTTCTCCCTCCCTCTCTCCCTCCCTCCCTTCTGTGCTTCTTCCTTTCCTTCTCTCCTCCATCCTTCTCTCTCCCTCTTTCTCTCCCTTTCTTCTTCTTTCTCCCTCCCTTGCTCTCTGTCTCTGTCTCTCTCCTCCCATATCATTTGATTTCTCATTGTGGCTTTGATGCATTTCTGTGATGATTGTTGAGGTTAAACTATTTCTAAATTCTTCATTGATACATTTTGAATTGGATGTTAATTGCATTTCTAAATTTGCGTTTTATGGGGTCTTTTTTGCTCTAAGTTAAATTCCTTGTACATTCTGAAATTCAATGTCTGACAAGAGATTAAATGCACAAGATTTCTTTCTTTATAATCTCCTTGCTTTATTTGTCTTATTGATTCTATTTGCTTGTTTATTTTTTATCAGGGCTCTACCTTGACTCTGAACCCCAAGCCTATTGGGTTTTCTCCAAGATAGAAAAGAGCTGCCCATTTCCCTCACTCTCATCTTGCAATCTACCTTCATTACTTGGAAATGGGTGAAGTACAAATTACATGTATATTTTCCCCAAAATGAAAAGCACTGTACTCTTAAAGAAACGTGTAAAGACCAGTAGTAAAGAAGACCTTTGTCTCCAAATCCAGAATGTTCCAAAGACATTGAAACATGTCATACTGTGCTCTGGGCACTTCGATAAATCAGTGCAGGACAATCTTTCTCCAGCCTTGGAGAAACACTACAAGACATGATTGAGCCCAGTTACAAATACCTCTGTACACAACCTATTCCCCTTAAGGTTGCCAATAGGTAGTTCAAGTCTTCAACCCACAGCTTATCTATTTTGGCACCTTTTGTTGAGAAAATGAAACCATTTGATCAACCTCAAGATGTATACCAACTTTCATTTCATCATCAACAAGTCAAGTAGTATTTCTAACATCTTTAACTGATTTCCATTGAAATATTTCATGATTATCTCTGGTTCCAGTGACTAAAAC